CGATTATTCCCAACCTTCCTGTGTGTTGGGTCCTCGTGCGCCGCGCGTCTCCTTCCCTCCTTCCTCATCCTCCTCCTTCTCCTCCTCCTTATCCTTCATCCTTTACCCAACCCTCAAACGTGTTGGGCCCTTGTTCCCAACTCTCCTGTGCGTTGGGTCCTCGTTTTGAATTCGCAGCGCCGCGCGTCTCCTCCTCCTCCTCCCCTCCTCCTTCGCGCACACGCTGCGTGGCCGCACAGGGAGGCCCACCGAAGGCTCAAGTGGCAGCATCCGATGGTTTCTCGGGTCCACTGGCACATTCATCACGCGCTTCGTGGCCGCACAGGGAGGCCACCGAAGGCCGAAGTGGCAGCGTCCGCACGGTTTCTCGGGTCCATTCTGGCACACCCCTCACGCGTTTCGTGGCCGCACAGGGAGGCCCTCCGAAGGCCCAAGTGGCAGCGTCCGCATGGATTCTTGGGTCCATTCTGGCACACCCCTCACACGTTTCGTGGCCCCACAGGGAGGTCCACCGAAGGCCCAGGAGGCAGCGTCCGCATGGCTTCTCGGGCCCATTCTGGCACACCCATCACACGTTTCGTGGCCCCCACAGGGAGGTTCACAGAAGGCCAAAGTGGTAGCGCCCACATCATTTCTCATATCCATCCTGACACACCCTTAAATGTTTTGTGGCCCCACAGGGACGCCCACCGAAGGCCCAGGTGGCAGCGTCCACATGAATTCCCGGGTCCATTCTGGCACACCCATCACACGTTTCGTGACCGCACAGGGGGGTCCACCGAAGGCCCAAGTGGCAGCGTCTGCATGGAGTCTCGGGTCCATTCTGGCACATTCATTCATCACGCGTTTCGTGGCCCCACAGGGAGGTTCACCGAAGGCCCACGTGGCAGCGTCCGCATGGCTTCGCAGCGACCGCCTGGATTCTCGGGTCCATTCTGGCACACCTCTCACACGGTCCGTGGCCGCACAGGGAGGTCCACCGAAGGCCCAAGTGGCAGCGTCCACATGGTTTCTCGGGCTCATTCTGGCACACCTCTCACACACGATTCGTGGCCCCACACTGCGAAACCGTCGCCGTTTTCGTGTTCGCTTGGGAGGTTCGGCAAGGCGGTGTGGCTTAACGGTGGGGTTTCCCATCGGGCCGTGGTGTCATTTTCCAATTGGGTCCACGAGTGAGGCTTGCCCTTGTTCTCCAGTCTGCGCTATCGCTACCGCCCTGCGAGGTTGCCCATCGGGCCCTCATCGGTTCCGCGCGCGTTGAATGGGTCGGGTTTTTCGCCAGGGTATTTCTTACAACAGGCTGTTCATAATTCAGAGGATTTGGTTCCAGCTGTCCACAAGGTTCCTTCTTACGATAATTTACCGTTGGCCCATCCCGCCTTCGTGACTGAGCCGTTGACGCTTGAGGATCTCTTGGGAGGTCTCTGGGGGCATCTGGGGCGCCCTCTTGGGAGCCTCCAGGAGTCTTCTTGCGTTCTTGTTGGCGGTCTCGTTGGCTATCTTTGGGGGAGGGTTCCTAGGGCTCCTTTGAGTTATCCTCTTTTGGGCCCCCATTGGGGCTGTTTTGATTGTCGCCTCTTATGCCCCGTCTTGGTGCTTGAGGGCCGTATTGAGGCGATCTCGAAGCCTCTCGAAGGCGACGGTGCCACATTCATAACAATGTTGTTACGATTCCCACTACTGTGAGTTGGGCCTGAGAACACTCCAGTCAGTGACTACTTTGCGGTGCCGAGCGTGTCAGCAGACGTGGGCGGTACAAGCCGTTCGCAGAGTTTGGTTGATTAGAAATTGCTTTTGACAGGGAACCGAATTTGATCCCACTCGCTCATGGGAAACTGGTGGACTTGCGTGGGGTATTTGACATGTCTCCCAGTTGCTATCAAACAATAGGACCCCGTTCCAGCCAACCCTCGGAACTCCTTTGCAAATACCAGGCGCTCCGAGTTTTGGCAGACGTTGGTATTGATTCATGTCAACTGCGCACGGCTTCATGTTCCCTCGTTGGGCTTTTTGTGTGTGCCCTATAGAGGTTGAAATACCGTTCCCGCAGATGTGCTCCCTTGGGCATCACCTGCTCTTGTCTTCGACCGCTCTGCGCTGTCACGGCGCGGGACAGTCCCTCGTGTCCGCTCGATGATGCTGCTATCCAGGGATCACGGCCCAGCGCCGAACGCTTACCATGCGTGTGAAGTAATGTGGCGTGGGCCACGCGCATTTCTTTTCTGTGCTGCGCAGGCCCCATGGCGAAACAGCATCATGCGGGGCCACTTCACCTTTCCTTCGTCGCACACGCCCCAGCGCCTGATCGTCGCAGTCCTCGTGAACTGATATTACGCTGGCCATATGCCCCGCAGGCATCGGTGATCGATATCTAACTGGTCCTCACCATTATTCTCCTTACCTTTTTGTTGGCTCCCAGGTTACATTACATAGTGGTGCGCGCTCGCTGGGCGAACTTGCGACCTGTAGGACGTCGCCGCCTGCGCCCAGAGGGGGCGGTCGGGGTTTAGAACGACAGCCTTGCGACTGCGACGTAGTGACGGCGTCTGAACATCAAGCAGACGTGTTGGTACGGTGTGGCACAGGCATTCTAGCGACACTACATGGACACATGGTGTCCTCATCCTCCTTCTCTTCCTCCCCATCCTGATATGAATTGTTCAAGTGTCTCTCCGGCTTCTGATGTCGGCGAGCGCTGCCGGGTAAAGTCAGCCTGCGTCTCTAAGGTTGCCTGCAATTTGGCTATTCTGCAGAGACACGAGATAACTCACATCCTCAACCTCGCGGCGGACGTTTGTGAGAGCCGGTTCCAAGGAGTCCCCACCATGCTGACCACGTCAGGGTGAGGAAGGGATACAGAGGGGACAGGAATGGCGAAGAGGAAGCAGGGAAGAGTCGGCATGAGGGCGAACAGGGACATTGAGTGTAGGAGGGGAGAGGGTGTGAATGAGGGGAGGGAGGATTAGGAATAGGAGTATCATCATGACGGTGTCATATAATTCAACAACGCACGCCCCCCCTGAGCTTGCCGAAGAAGACGACGAACAGGAAGGATAGCACTTCAACCCGCACACGGCTGTCTGAAAGGGAAGCCTTTGGAACACCGAGATGATACCGCGGGTGGTTCCCTTCAGACAGTGGCGACGCCCATGGTACAGAAAGTTACAAATTTTGAAAGAGGTTAAGTTGAGATGAATTCGGCTCGATACGGCCCACAACAGGGTGAGAAGACAATTTGTCATCGGGCAACCTTGCCGGATCGCCTCCTCCACGGACAGCCTCGCCAACAGCCGCTACGAAATGACCAAACCACAGCGCGCGAACGATTGCATGTTCACCCCTTCAGTACAACCACCCGAAAATTTGGTGTGTTGAAGTTGAGATACTGACAGGAACAAAGCTCCCTGAACCACGCTCCAGCGAAACAGCCGCCGCTATCACACACCGAGAACAACTGTCTTTGAACCCGTTCTGTGGTTGGAGCCCCCAAGCGCCACGAGAAGGCAATGGGTTGGGCGCTCCATGGCTAGCTCGAGGCCACCCGTGCTTGAGAATAATAAGAGGAAGGAGCAAGAGGAGGAGGAGGAGGAGGAGGAGGAGGAGGAGGAGGAAGTGGAGCAGGAGGAGGATAAGGAGGGGCAGAGGGAGGATGTCAAGGAGCATCGGCTGCAGGAGCCTGCGCCGTGTGCCGCGGCAGTGCGCAGTGTCAAGCCGCGCCTCCCGCTGCGGCGCGCGCAGGTTCTGATGCTCCACTGGCCGTGGCATGCAGAGGGCGGGGGAGCGCGGGACGAGCCGCCGCGGCGCACCCAGGAAGGGCAGGCCAGCATGCGACATCCGAGGCCCCCCCTCGCCGCTCGACGGCTCGGGCAGCTCGATGGGCGGCGGGTGTGGGCCTCGGAGCTCGCCAAGCGCGTGGTGCTGCTCGACCCCTCCTCCTCCTCCTCCTCCTCCTCCTCCTCCTCCTCCTCCTCCTCCTCCTCCTCCTCCTCCTCCTCCTCCGCCCCCGCCCCCCAGCGATTCCGGAGAACAGAGGGGTGCTGGGGGTAGGGCTCGGACGTCGCCACCTCATCCGGGGCACGCGGACCCGGACGGCGTCTTCCGGCGGCAGGGGGGCCGGCACCCGCGGCGGCCCGGATCCACCGGCGCCTCCCCTCCCGGTCCGGGGTGGCCCCCGGGCGTCGCGGTCGCCGCAGCGGAGGGCTCGGCGGCGCTGTCCTCGCCGCGCTGCACCTGGGCCGTGCCCCAACCGATGCCGAAAGAGTGATGCTGAAGGTGGCCCGAAGAGGAGGGCCGGTGGGTGGAGCTGCCTCCCCCGAGCCTCCTCGCGTGGGGGGGAGGCGGGTGCAGAAGGAGTGATGGCGGGGATGGATGGGAAAGGGAAGGGGGGTGGGGGGGAGGGAAAGGTGGAGCCGCAGGGGAGGAGCGGGAGGAGGAATGGGGAGGGTGAGGAACTGGTGAGGGGTCAGGAGGCGAGGAGGGGAGTGAGGAGGAATTGTGAGGAATGAGTGTGGGTGGCGGGGAGAAATAGAGGGAGGAGGAGCGAAGGAGCGAGGAGAAATTGGGAGGGAGGACGTGGAGGAGAGAGTTGGCGCGCGGAGGAGGGGGGGGGCAGGAGCAGGGAGGAGTGAGGATGAGGAGCTGCAGAAGGATAGGAGGAGATGAGAGGCCTGCCCGTCTCCCTTGTTCGCATTCCAGTGTATATTCTCCCCTCCCTTTCCTCCTCCCCCTCCTCCCTTTCCTCCACCCCCACCTCCTCCTCCTCCTCCTCCTCCTCCACCTCCTCCTCCTCCTCCTCCTCCTCCTCATCCTCTTCCTTTCCGTCCCCTCGCTTCCCCTTCTGCCTGGAGGGGGGGGGAGGGCAGGGAGGAAGGATGGAGGAAACAGGGATGGGCGGCACCGCTCCCAGACAAATTCAAGTACGCCACGTACTACTGCAAGGACGTGTCCAGCGAGGACATATCCATGCTGTTCTACAGGACGTTGGAGTGGATGCAGGTCGCGCGTTCCTCCCTTCCCCGCCTCCCCTCAGCCTCCCCCCGCCCCTCCTCCTTCATTCCTCCTCCCCTCCTACCCTCCCCCCCTTCTACCTCCTTCTCCCTCTCCTCCCCCTCCCCTCCTGTGTCTCCTCCGTCTTCCCCTCCCCCCCACTCCTCCCTCCCACTCTCATCCCATCCTCCCTTCTCCCATTCCCCATTCCGCGCCCCGACCAGACATCCCCTAAAAGCCCCCAAGTTATATGCGTGGGCACGTCGAAGGCATTTGCATTGTGATGTATGACGTGTGCATGTCGTACATTCTGCTCTGGCCAACCTTTTCTCCCGCAGCGTTACGCTCTACGGATAAGGTCTCCGCATTCGATTTCTAGCTGTTGTCGTTCACCCGAGTCGTCTCGTATGTTCCTGGCATATCATACGTAGCGCCCCGCAGTTGCGGATAGGAGTGGGGGGGGGGCGGCGGGGACGTCGGCAGTCTGCGAGGCTCTCAAGAGATCCGCTGCAGGAGCCCAATATTTTACGATTATGCAACGAGCCCGCAGCAGGCGCAGCGTTTTTCGTTGAAGCAATGTGGGTGGGGTGCTGGCCCGCTCGCGGGTGGGTCGCGGGTGGGTTGCGAGCCGGTTCGCGGGTGGGTCGCGGGTGAGACGCGTGTGGGTCGCGGGTGGGTCGCGGGGAGGGTCACGGGCCAGGTCGCGGGTGGGTCGCGCCTGGATCGCGGGTGGGTCGCGTGGGGGTCGCGGATGGGGTCACGGGTGGCATGACGACATCACACAACATCAACAACACCAAAACAACAACAACAACAACAACAACAACAACAACAACAACAATTACTAGCACGTGGGGACACTCCGTTCTCACCAGTGCCAGGGTTTTCATAGGAGGCGGGCAATACCCCCACTTTGTGGGGGGGCCGGTTCAAGCTCTACCAAATTTCCAAACGACTCTTCGCCACCACCCACACCCAGCTTCCCGCCCTATGACGTTCGGACACCTCACTTCGTGGCCTGCGGACGACCTTGGCTACTACACTGGCGCATGGGTACAATGACTTGTTGTGGTAACATTTTCTGTAAGCTAGCTTAGTATACGACTTTTCCCCCTGCAATTGAAGATTTCGGCGTGCGCGCGCGAAGAAAAAACGAATGTGTCCCATATGGTATTATTTGACAGGGATGATGGCCCTGGCAGGCGCGCAACCGTTGTTGCAGAAGTTCGAAGCACGTGAAAAAGTTGCTCGCAAGAGCCCGTTTGACAGAAATGTTGAAAAAGTATTGGGTTTCCTAAGAAATCCGCAAGAGCGCGCGGGATGAATTTTTGAAACTTTTTGTTTAAAAACCATCGGTTTTTCATGTTTTTATGTTAAAATCGCTACGAAAACTAAGGTTTTGGAAGGATTTCATCTTGCGCGCGCGAGTGTGCACTTCGTGTCATTTGTTGCAAAGGATTCTTGAAGTTTGGTTATGTTAGAACAAGACATGTCATTATATATTGTTTTTTGACAGGGAAAGCGGGCGTCAACAAAACAACCGGATCCGGACTCCCCCGTTTTGCCTGAGACTTCCTCACGAAAATGATGAAAATGTGGCTGCGGCCTAGGCGCGGCGAGGGGGGCGTGCACCAGGGGGCCCAACAATAATTATTCTTTAGAAGTAATAATATTCAACAACAACAACAACCACAACAACAACCACAACAACAACAACAACGACAACGACAACGACAACGACGACAACAACAACAACAGCAACACTGACAACAACAATAAGAATATTAGCAACAGCAACAACAGCAACAACAACAATCATTTTAAGTTTGTTCGCCCTTCTCTGCTCGAGTGTCCAATAACGCGTATTTCCCAAGCCCTCGATACCCACCCTCTTCGTCCTCGTTCGAACCCCTTCGGGTGGGTATACCTTTCTTCCCTGCAGGAGGGCCCTGGCAAGCGGCAGCGACGACGACGAGCGAAAGTGAGAGCGAGAGAGAACGACAGCAGGACCACGAAGGACAGGAAGTAGGCCACGAAGGGCGAGAGCGGGGACACGAAGGGAATGCGTATGGGGCCACGAAGAGCGCGAACGAGCGGGGGCCACGAATGGCAGATAATGCGGGGTCACAGAAAGCAGCGATGGGGCCACTGAGGGTAGCAACTGAGCCACGTAGGACAGTGAGGGGGCCTCAATCGGCGACAGCGGGGCCACGAAGGGCATGCACATGTGGCCACAACGGGCGCGAACGAGCGGGGGCCACGAAGGGCATACGTATGTTGGGCCGCGGAGGGCAAGGACGGGGCCACTGAGGTCAGCAACGGGGCCATGGAGGGCAGCGAGGGGGCCACGAAGGGCTGCAGCGGGGCCACGGAGGGCATGCATCTGGGGCCACCACGGGCGCGAACGAGCGGGGGCCACGAATGGCTGCAACGGGGCCACGAAGGGGAGTGAGGGGGCCACGAAGGGCTGCAACGGCTCCACGAAGGGCTGCAACGGGTCCACGAAGCAAAGCCAGAGGGGAAGGGCTGCAACGGGGCCACGAAACAAAGCGAGGGGGCCACGAAGGGCTGCAACGGGGCCACGAAGGGCAGCGAGATCCCGATTCTTAGGTAATCTGTGATGGAGGGAGTCCTAAGCGAGAGCGCGACTCCTGGGTGTCTGGGTGTCGGGGGCTCGGCGCTTGAGTAAATCGCCGGAAATTCCAATGCAAGGGCGCTATTCGTCAGTAGCTTGCAAGCAAGTCTCCAGCGAGAGCGCGACTCCAGAGCGCCGGGAGAGCGATTCCTGAAGGAAGTGTAAGGAAGTCCCAAGCGAGAGCGCGATTTCTGAATAAAGTGCGAGGAAGATTCGGCGGGAGCGGGGGGCCCTGGCTAAATTGTGAGGAAATCTCATGCGGGAGCCGTTGTTGTTGTAACCGGGGGGGGGGCCAGGAGCGCAGTTTGAGCATCAAGACTTTCCTTCTCAAAAAACAAGGTGCGAGCGTGGAGGGGCACACTTTGATTGAGAAAAACAGTATGCACCAGTGAGGGGGGATCAACAATAATTAATTCTCAGAACTGAGAGTTCAGCACCAACAACTTCAACAACAAAAGCAGCAACATCAACATTAGCAACAACAGCAAAAACAGGAACCATCCGCACAGCGGAACCTCCTCTCAGCCACGCGCCCAGGGACAGTGATTGACCGTTCGTCCCCCTCACCCTGATGCTATCATCAGAGTGAGGGGTCCGAACGGTCATTCATTGTCCTTGGGTGCGTGGCTGAAGTGGGGATCCGTGGTGGGGAGTATGCTTGTTGCGTTGTTGCGTTGTTGCGTTGTTGTTGTTTGTTGTCGTCGCCCCACCCGCGACCCACCCGCGATCCACCCCGCGATCCACCCCGCGACCCACCCGCGACCCACCCGCGACCCACCCGCGACCCACCCGCGACACACCCGCGACCCACCCGCGACCCAACCGCGACCCACCCGCGACCCACCCAACGACCCACCCCGCGACCCACCCCGCGACCCACCCCGCGACCCACCCCACGACCCACCCGCGACCCACCCCGCGACCCACCCCGAACCACCCGCGACCCACCCCGCAACCCACCCCGCGACCCAACAGCGACCCACTCCGCGACCCAACAGCGACCCACCCGCGACTCACCCGCGACCCAACAGCGGCCCACCCGCGACCCAACCCGGACCCATTTGCGACCCACCCGCGCTCTACCCACATTGGTTTAACGAAAAATTCGGCGCCTATTTGTGAAATGTTGGCGCTTGCGGCGGGCTTCTCCAGAGTCTCGCAGACTGCCGACGTCCCCGCCGCCCCCTCACTCTCATCCGCATCTGCGGGGTACTATTTATGATCTCGTCTTAGTCTACCTTGGTCGCGGTCTAGTGTTCGGAGTCCTTCATTTCTGTCTGCGGCCGTTCGCCGTCGTTGGCCGTCGCCTCGCCCAGGGCCCTCTTCTGACTGGTCCACCACGGGCTGCCCATCACATTAAGGTGTCTTGTTGTGGTGGGTAGTTCTGCTGCCACTCAACCAGGACAACTAGCCAGAGCAAGTTGTCCCGTTGTGTCTTTGCTATGCTACGCTAAGCGATGCTGTGCGGTGCTGTGCAATCCAATATTATGCAATTTTATGATATGATATGCAATGCTGTGCTATGATATGCTGTGCGATCATGTGCAATAGTGTGCTGCACCATGCCATGTTATGCTATGCGATGCGACCCGATAATGTGCGATACTATGCCACGGTATGCTATGCGAAGCTATGCTGTTATATACAATGCCTCGCAATCCTGTACTCTGTTTTGATATGCTGTGCGATGCTCTGCTATGATGTATCACGCCATGGTACGACATGAAATGCCCTTTTGTGCTGTGTTGTGCTATTTGATCCCACACGATGATATGTTATGCAATGCAATGGTATGCTATGTTATGTTTTGTCATGCTACGCGATGCTAAACGATGCGATGCTACGCGATGGTGCGATATAGTTCCAGTCTGTCCCTCCCGCAACCTCCCTATCACCCGAAGTGTGGTCGTGTAGGTAGGCCGCTCCCCGGAAATTCAAACCGCCCTTATCCCCCGTTTCACGCGTTTTTCTGGCTTGAATTTCGCGCGAGTAGCCGTTTGGCTCAAAAAGGGCGGCTCAACACACTTGGGGAAAGCAGTGTCAGGGGGATCTACTGCACGGGATGGTGTTGCTTGCGCCGCCGCTTCGTTTCGGGCCCCAGCCCTTGGCGGGAAAGAGGGTGAAACCCGTGCGCGCTGAGGGGGGGCAGAAACCGACTGCCGCGAGGGCGACTCGGAGGAAGGCCGAGGCACAGAAGACATCGCATTCGATCATGCCAAGCTACAGGAGGCACACATTTCAAAGTGTTGGGCGCTCCTCGCTGCGAAAGCTGAGTCCATTGAGGAAGTCGTCGCAGCCTCTGGCGCGGAGGCCACGGTCATGCGCGGCGGTCAAAGCGGCGAAGAGGTCACAAGCTCCGGCTCTGATTTCCCCGCCGTT